AAGTGAGATTTTAGAGAGAGAGCGGCGGTGGCGGAGGATGACGGCAATGTGGTGGATGAAGAGAAGGTGAAGAGAGCGGCGGCCTCCATTGTTGAGAGGATTTAGAGAGAGAAAGAGGAGAGAGAATGGGGAAGAAGAGTGAGGTCAGTAGGTTCTGAGTGCCTTATCTGTTTGATTGAAAGAAAAGTTTATTCAGGAAAGAAGGAAGGGCGTTTTCGGAATTACACGTGAAATAATAATAATAATAATAATAATAATAATAATAATAATAATAATAATAATAATAATAATAATAATAATAATAATAATAATAATAATAATAATAATAATAATATATTATTATTATTATTATTATTATTATTATTATTATTATTATTATTATTATTATTATTATTATTATTATTATTAGGGGTGCAAGTTGGAACGAAATTTTCAATTTCCGCCGGTTTTTTTCCGAAAAATACACCTATAAATAATATATATTATATAATACTTATTTCTCCGAAAAATACAAATGTAAGTTTTGTTTTAGGATTTTGATTGATGTTAGAAGTTTTATTGAATATTATGTTGTGTTTATTTTTATTTATTTTTTTAACTGAATTTAGTAGTTATTAGTTTTTACGTGGATGTTCTTATTTTTGAAATATTATGAACATTTTAGAAAATTTCTGCTAAGTTTTGAAATTTTAAAGCTTATGTACTTCCGAAATTTAAATTGGAATTGGAATTGAAATTGTACTTCCAAAATTTTTGAAAATTTTCCGAAAAGGCTTATTTCGATCCGATGAATCCGACTTTCACCCCTAATTATAATAGAATTTCATTGGGAACCGAAAACTTAATGTTGTTATCACAAGATTAACAACGATTAAGGTTGAAACTGGTCCACAACTACAATTTAGATTTTTTTCTTTTTTTCTTTTTTTTATTCTTATCTCTTTTATTTCTTGTCTCTAATACTGATTTGTGTATTGAACAAAGTGATTTGTTGTCTTAGATTTCATGTAAGATTACTAGATGTCTTGCATCTGTGTAGTGCACAAAGTAAATCATTGAGCTTTATCTTAGAGAGTCTTCAAATTAGAGAATAAATAAACAAGGCATAGTCTTCAATAATAATAATAACAATAATAAATAAATTACAGAAAAATGCACATTTTTCGGCTCGCTAAGAAGAAGCATCCTCTCTTTGTAGTATAAAGTCTACTGCCTCTTCCACAGTACCAACAACCTGCGGAATCGTTACGTTAACAATTTGAGGACTCAATTTCAAATAACTTGAGTTATTTCAGTATTCTTTTCCAAATTCTCGGATGGTTTCCATTTGTGGTACGAAAAATATGATATTATGTAGACGACTTTCAGCTAAGATTGTAAACTTTAAGAATAAGAGCCATTCACGAGCCTTACCATATCGGCTGGAAATTGTGAATGATTCTCCCGTTGCTTGAAGACACCTGTTCTCGTCAAAATCGAAAACCATGGATACCCTGCCTGTGTAGCAAGGGTAAAGTTGTCACACACACACACACACACACACACACACACACACACACACACACACACACACAGAGAGAGAGACCTGTTGTGCTCCTTTCACATCAACGAAGGGATTGTCACCGACCATATAAAGGGTTTTGAAAGAAGGTAACAACGCATCGTCTGCATTTCCCGTTCTTACATTACCAAGGAAGGGAGGTTGTAGTAGATGTTTTAATATAGTTTCAGAATTTTTGAAAACAAATGGATTTGGCTTTCCAAAAGACGTATATTCCAAAGGTTTGTCATGAATTCTGCACACACACACACACACACACAAAAAAAGCCTTAGTCCATGTAGACATTGTTCAGGAGTAACTAATCTCGAATCAAAAAGTTACTCGGTTTCTTTCATTAGGGTTTCAATATTCGGTTTAGTGTAAAATTAATACCATAAACGTGTACCTGTTGAAGACACTCTCAAGGGCGATTCTAAATGCACCCATACCGAGGCGTTCTGAGGGAAATGCAGCCTGTTAATAAAAAATTCACCCAATTTAAAAAAAAAAAGAAAATTGAACTCAGCGGAATATTCTAAAAAATGGAATATATAAAAGTTATTATTGCCAACCTGGTATTGAAGATCATCAGCAGCAAAATAAAGACGTGGTTGATGCCAATTCTCCTCTCCGGGAACACCTCCACTTGTCAAAATATCACACAGAACCTAAATTCCGTCAGTTACTTTGTTTCAAAAGTTGGAATATGAAGAAAAATAAACGGGCATGATTGATTTTGTATGATTTGATTCACCAAACAATTATTCCCAAGTATTACTATTTACTCTATTTTACATCACGAAATTCAAGAATCGACACCAAGTTTGAAGTAAAATACAATGATGAATGATAGATTGATTGGCATACCGCTTTTTGGCTACGATAAATTACAATAGCATTCTCATTTTGACGACAGAATCAAAATTTAGTTTTATGTAGAAAACAAAAAATGAATATAATTATGCATCCGATTCAAGTCAAAGTAGAGTTGACTCGCAGAAAACTACATAAATGCAGAAAAATTATCTTTGATTTTGTTTCTTCAACAATTATGCAGGCTTCTAATTCTTGTACATTATTGTTATGCGTAGCAATATTACCTGTATATCCCTCCCCCAGTCAACTGGATCGCTAACAACAAATGCAGCTTTGACTTTTTGGGAGTAATCGATATGGTTCGAGACTGTCTTTTCAGAATTTCTCGTGCAGTTCAATTCCTGCCTAGTTGACCACTTCTTGTATTGTGCTACAGGGTCAATGTTGTTGAAGTGCGTCGCGTATTCGTCTAGTGAGACAACTTGCCTGTATGACCAACAAAATTTAATCAAGAAATAATCAATTTTAACCTTATTCAGACAAGTTAGAACTTACTTGAAGCCATATTCAGACATCACAACAGCAGGTTCTCCTTTTCCAGTAGCCACAATGAATTCATTTTCATATCTAAAAAATAAATAGATCAAAAAATGTGCAGACAACATTTAAATTTAAAAAAAAAAAAAAAATCAAGAAAATTTTGAATAAGTGGATTCAATATACCTCTTTAGCAAATTTCTGAAGGGTGAGTGGCCCTGCACTACCTACAGCCAAATAGCACAGGAAATAACTTATTCACAAGAATAGATACATTTGTTGCAATTATCGGGGAAATGTTTAATTATTACGATTATACCTGAGAAGGCAAAATATTCACTTCAAGAATATTACTCAACTCCACGGCTCTTCTGGCCTCTGGTATACCGCCACCTAGTACAACATGAGGATCGTATTAATTACTCTAGATATTTATCACGTAAAAATATATTTGGTCACGTAAATTCTAAAGTGTGAATCTCTAAATATTTTTTTAGGGTACACTAAATGAGGAATAGGTTAGATTCATTTTTTTTCTATAAATAAATGATACGTAAAGCACCAAATGAACTAAATAGGAGGTACGAAAGCTTCGAATACGTACCATTTGTCAGAAATAGAAAAGGGATCTTCAAAGCACCTACAAGCAATGAGTATATCAGCATTGCATACCAGAGAAACGCTTAACACATCCGAACGACACGAAAAAACAATATAGTAATGTTTTTAGAATCTAAAACCTACATCCCTAAAAGATTCCGATAACTATTTTGCAAACTCTTTTAACACTCAAGCCTGAATAATTGAATAATCTGCCTCAAGCACGAAAAGGGTCCTACACTCGAGTGGTATAAACTGGTGCTTCCAGCCCCAAATTCGACGTGGGATCTGGTACTATGAGGAATCACCGAAAAACCCAATGTGGTAAGCGCTACATTGTTTGGAAGTTACGTGAGTTACGTCTTAGTGGATGTAGTTACTATTTAATATTTATGATAGTCATATAGTTAATACTTAACCAATTAAACAGCTCAGAGGTACTAACGTTCGCCAAACTTCACTAGAATTTTACGAATCAAGAATACTAATTCTTCGATAATGGTAATCCAGAGGAACTAAGTAAATGCACGATCAAGTATCTCAACAAAGTACAGCCGATTTCGATTCCTAACGACATCTAACCAGTGTAACCACACATATGTCTTCATACTCAGCTCTATAAAACAGTAAAAACATACCTTCTATCAATACCATGGAAACACACACACACACACACACATACACACACACACACACACACAGTGCTTCGTAAAGAAAATCCACAGGCTAATTAACATATTTTGACCTCGAACACCATCAATGCTCCCACAATTTTCCAAAACCCCCAATTTTCACACCAAAAAGGAAATAATTAATTATATATATTTTTTTTAATTAGGAAACGAGAGTACCAGAATCATCATACAATCTTCTCAGTGCTCTACTCGAATTCCCAATCGGATTCGCACCACGAAGAATCACGCCATCGATATCAAATGCAATACCAAACGACGACGTACTGCAAACATTAACAAGGTGAGCGCACACACAGACGATGTTAAATATTCTGATCATAAAAACTACATTTTAATCAAATTGTAAAGAAATAATTACACTAGCTGTTTGGAGACTGTGTGAATCGACGCCGCCGCTTGCGGCAGCCGGAGCATAGTTAGTGGTAGTGCCGGCCGCTGTTTTAATCGGAACCTCATAAACATTTTTTATTTTTATTTTATTATCTTCTGATTTTTTTTAGGGTAAATTCCATTTTCTGCCATTGTAATTTGTTTCGATATCACTTTATCCCCTTTTACTTTCGATTGTGCCGGTTTGCCCCCTGTCCTTGAAAAATAATGTGGTCCTCGCCTTTAGTTTTCAGACCTTTGACATTAAAAGGGTTTCATCTAAGTCTGAAAATTTACAAAAAAAATCATCCCTCCCAGTTTAAATAATTATAAAAAAAATAAAAATAAAATAAAATAAATTGTGGCTGATTTGTAATTTCAGAGACTAAAGCAACGGTATTAAGGTTAAATGTATCACAACTAACAGGGAGGGCCACAAATCGATGCAATCGCGAGTAGAAGGGGTAAAGTGATATCGAGCCAAAGTACAAGACGGAAAAGTAGAATGTATCCTTTTTTATAGTGAAAACGGGACTATGGCATTGAGACTTTTATGCATTTAATAGACAATAATACCCTCGAATAACAACCACTTCCCTGAGATAAACTGTAATTACATAAAAACCCCTTAATTTTTAGAAATTACATACATCCCCTCTACTTTGTACATTTCTTACATTCACCTCCAACAAAGGGTGTTGATGTAAGAAATTTACAAATTGCAGGGAGGTGGATGTAATTATGAATAAATGATGGGTTTTTTCATAAATAGATCTTACTTCAGGAGTGTGTTTGTAATTTATACTTTTTATTCTTCTATTTTTTTTATTATTAATTTTTTTTTTCGCAAAAATTGAATGGATTAGGGGTAAAATCTCATCATCATCATAAAGTGATGTTTAATGTCATTCATCAATAAAACTCCACATCTATACAATAGCAATTATTTTGAACTCAAACACCTAAATCGGAAAATAGATACAATAATCATTACAATTAAAACGAGAAATTTCACATTATGGAATTCGTAATCTATATTTAAAGCAACTTATTGTGATTTTTTCGGCCTCGAAAACCGTTCTAAGTATGTGTAGATTGTGATCGCATTCTGATTGGAAAAGATAGTACACGTATAAATAAAGGACACAAAATTATACAATGATTTCTAGGTAGTAATACTATTTTCCATTGTTGTTTGCATAAGCAACATACTTTTTGACAGTTTCTTTGTATTCATCTATGATTTTGCCTTTGATTTGACCTCTCTTTGGTGGCAAGTTGTTGAAGCTTTTCTCTTTCTTGATTGTGTTCTTCTCTTCTTTATCCATTCTTGATCCAAGAATTCTTGAAATTTTTCTTTAATGAAAAAATGAATTCTTTTTAATTATTTTAATTTGTGAGTGAGTGGATCTAAGGGGCGCTTGAATGATATATAGAGGTTAGCAATTGGGGTTTTTATATAATTATATAATAATTGGTGGGCTTGGTTACATAGGTATGATGTCATGAGATGACATCATCAAGAACCAATTATTGTTAACCATATCCTTTTTTTTTTCTCAAAGCTTGTCTTTTGCACTTAAAAAATAGGGGTCTTAAGATATAAGTCCCTGGTGACAAACCGTATTAGAACTAAATGACAAGTCTAATTAAAATTTGTTTCACATCCTTTCTTAAATTTATTCCAAAAATGCCCCTTTACTCACAAATTCAAAATTACAGCAAATTATAAATATACTATGATGAACTATGGTATTATTTAACATTTTTAAGTTTGCATCTACCATTTTTTTTAATTTTTCGTGGAACACGTTTTTTTTCATATTTTCTAATTATATAAAAATCTATTTTTCCCCTTTTCTACATAAAATAAAAAATATGGTTCTTTTTTCTTTTTCTTTTTTTTTGCTTTTTTATTTTCAGTTTTCGTATTTTTTTCATTATATAAAATCTATCTTTTCCCCCTTCTTTTCTAGATAAATTAAAAATTGTGATTTTTTAAAAAAAATTTTTGCCGTAGACATCTACAGAAACCCGTAGAAACCGTAGTAATCCATAGTAACCCGTAAATATCTTGAAACCCTAACTCCTTTCAACCCTAGCCGTCAGACACCGTAGACATCCATAGACGCTCATAGACATCTGTAGACATCTAAATCGAAAAATCTTAAATTTTCCCTACCAAACCCTAAATCCAATCCGCCGCCACCACCACCACCGCCACTACTCCCCCTCTCCATCCCCCCAGACTCAGATCCATCTTCACGATTCATCTCTGTTGGTTGCAAGAAAACAACGAGCCTGCCATCACAGAGCCTCCAGATGCTACCCCTACATCGAGCGTCGCCATAGCCGTCGTCGCCTACCATAGCCGCCGCCATCTACAATAACCACCATCATAGCCTTCATCATTTCACTATAATTGAAAAGAAAAAACAGGAGAAAGGGAGGGGGGGGGGGCGTGTGTGTGTGTGTGTGAGAGAGAGAGAGAGAGAGAGAACGAACGAGAGGATGAACATGTTGAGCGGTTATGTCGAAGAACATGTTGAGCGGCTATGTCGGCGTGAGAAAGATAGTGGGGAAGAGAGAGAGAAAGAAATAAGAAAAAAAAAAGAGACACGTGATTTTTATTAGGTATTGTAAGGGTATTTTTGGGTTAAATAAAAATTAAAGGATGTGTATCAATTTTTATTTTAAAATAGGGATGTAGTTAAAATATTTTATTTGAGTTTGTCACTCATATCTAATTAAGTTTGGTTTGAGGGATGTGAGGCATATTACCCCAATAAGCACCAAAAAATACATAAAATAAACGAGATTTACACAATGCACGTATATATATGTTACGAACAACACAATTCAAACAATGAAATAATACAACATATGCAAATAAAAAAGAAGAAGAGGTGATGCGCGTTCTAACCATAAACCAGAAACCATAGTAATTAACGTATATAAATTATCAAATAATTGGTTTAAAACCCGAATTTCAGACAAATAAAACATATTCTCACGTTCTCCCCAAAACTGTGTTGCACCAAAACTTCAATTTCTTCCACAGTTTACGAAATATTATTGCTTTAATCCGCCCTCTAACAGGTGGAAATCCTCCACCATTTCTTGAATTCTCCATTGTTGATTATGTGTAAGCTTTGAGGCTAAGCAAAACAAGAAATATTGTTTTCTTTGTGTTCTTTGGGGTGGGGGAGCTATATATATACATATACAAGCAAGAACTGTTTATATATATTTATTTATTTATTTAATTTTTTTTAATTATATTGGTCAAATGCATTCACACTAGGGGTAAGGAAAATAAGAGGAAATAACACACATTGTTTGTAGTATTGTGTATTTGTGTAGTTTTCCACACTTATTGACAAAAGCTACCACGTGTAAAGGCTAAAAGCATCTATGGAATTAAATGAGTGATAGAATTTATGGAAGTTAGGTGGAATGGACAAAGATTAGTCAACTTCTAACTTTGTGTTATATATATATATATATATATATATATATATATATATATATATATATATATATATATATATATATATATATATATATATATATATAGCATTTTACTGCACAATTGAGCATGTAACAATACTTTATGGTACAATATTTTAGGAACTCTAACACTAGATTGTTGAACTTATCATGCAATTACGTGTATTTGTTGTTCGGTTTCGGTTTCGATAAATCTGTAATCACTCACTAAACACACATATACATGAGTGTGCTTATATGATTATGTATAAATCAACGATTAAAATAGACCCAGTATAAATAATCATGTGTAACATCTAATTACCGATTCTGATACACATACGATCTAAGTAAAATTTAATTATTACTTGTAAGAGAAGATATTTGAATATTTCAAACGAGTCTCGAAGTACTATTACAACATTAAAATAAATATTTCAAATTATCTTAATCAATCTCGAACCTACTAAGAATTAAGCACAAAAAATGCAAATATATCAAACATTAAATAACCTAATTAAGAAAACAAGAATATCTTATTACATGAAGTATCATAGAAGTTCAGGGTTTAAAGTGAGTTTCTAGATGATGAGGTTTGACTTTTTGTTTTGAGACTTCAAGCGACTATTAAGAAATTACAGGTCAACGTTTCAATAAGTCAAAACATTGACTTTTGCATGCCTTAAAGTCAATTTGGACTTGCATTAGTCCTCTGTTTTTTTTTTTTTTTTTTTTTCTCAATGGTTGTCAAGAGTCGTTCTTGTACTAAGCAAATTGGCATTAAAAAAAAAGCTAGGGCTCAATTGACAGTTGTAACCATAGTATTCGTGTCACTAATTAACCATTAATCGACTCATGAATCTTTTTCAACCGACACATATATACTTATAACGGTTCATAATTCCTTAAATCTTTGAAAATCATTTTTCACACCATAAAGTATAAACTATTTCGGAACTCGTCAGTTTATGCTAATGTTGCGACGTAGTGTAGTAATTACCTATCGACCCATTACGTAATCGATGAATTTTGTTCCCCACTCAACTACCATTAACCAACCAACTCGACCAATGCACAATCCGAACAAAAATTATACAAAGATCCCATTTGTATGAAAAAAAATCTACATATGATGAGGAACCAATCTCCTAAGTTTTATATACCAAAATTCCAAAATATTTCATAAATATAATTAGATTTATAAATATATTAATAAAGTACCCTTTTTATTATTATTATTCTTTTTGGGCCTAAAGGCTTTAGATTCTTGGACCGGCCCAATAACTCGAATAATGTAGCATTTATGCTTGGGCCTGATCTATTCTCTTGGGCAGTTAGGGTTAATTACAGTTTGCACCCCTAAAGTATAGTATATATAACACTTATCCCCTTAAAGTAACACTTACCCCTCAACATCAATTATTTTATTTTTAAAATTTGAAACATAATAAACATAACAATCTAATAATCGTTGGATGATAAAGAAAAATGAAAAGTAAATAAAATTAAATTATTTAAAAAATATTAAAAAGTAATATATATTGTATAATAATGAATGAAAATATACTTTAAGAAATTAATGAACTAAAGCAAATTTTAATACTTAAGATTACTATTAGTTATGTATTTATTTATTAAAATTTATCGATATGACTATATTCGAGTAATTGGTCGAACAACAATTAGATGTTATTTGTTAAATATGTACCCAACGCTATATTTTTTTATACATCTTTAGATATTGCATTTTTCAACATATATTTTTAGTTGTATAATTTAATTATTCTTGTAGCTATTCATTTCATTAAAAGAGAAAATTTTAACGATATTAGAATTTAAAACACAAATTAAATTGTGTTTTAGGGGTAAGTGTTACAAACGATACTTTTTAGGGAGAAAGTTTGACAGATGATATACTTTAGGGGCCTAAATTGTATTTAACCCTTCTTATTTTATAGCATATAAATTTGTAAAGTATTATTTAACTAAAGTACGCCACCGCCGACCACGCGCCACCGCCCCCGCCGGAAAAAATTCCCCGCAGCATACATGAAACGAGGCGCGCGCACCCAAATCTTCAATCATCACTCAACGAAATCAGTTCTCCGAAACCTGAGATCGCTCGTCTCGTTGTCCACTCGAAATTTCCTCTCCGCCGCATTCAGCCCAGGTCAAAACTCCGACTCAGTAGAAACCAACGGTGGCGAACGATTTTCAGGTATAATCGAAGACAAAGACCTTCTGAGAAAAAATCCCAATGGAAATCTTCTCGTTCTCGACCTCATCGACGGCGGCAGAATGGAACCGGGTTCGAGGTTGTATACAGAGCTCTTCAAGAAGTGTACTGAACTGGGCAAGCTCAAAGAGGGTCAGATGGCTCACGCCCATTTCCTGGCGTCGAGATTTCAGCATTACGTTTCTCTGCAATGCACCGTTGTGAACATGTACGCGAAATGTGGGGATATGGAGCTGGCACGCAAGGCGTTCGACGAAATGCCTGAACGGGATATGGTTTCTTATACTATGTTGATCACTGGGTATTCGCAGAGTAACGGGTTCAAGGAGGCGTTGGATTTGTATGTAGAGATGTTGAAGATGGGATTGCAGCCGAATGAGTTTACTTTCGGCAGTGCCCTCAAGTGTGCCGGGGGTATGCAGAGTGATGCGATGGGTAGGGTGATTCATGGGACTTGTCTGAAATGTGGATACGATAATAACGTATATGTTGGGAGTGCATTGGTGGATATGTACACGAGGTGTAAGAGAATAGATGATGCAAAGGCCATATTCAATGGGCTCGAGTGCAAGAATGAAGTTTCGTGGAACGCTCTAATTGCAGCATATGCTAGGGAAGGAGAAGGGCACAACGCAGTGGAGCTCTTCTCGGAGATGAAACGGGTAGGTTTTAACCCGACCCATTTCACGTATTCGAGTATTTTCGCAGCCTGTGCTAGTAACGGGGCTTTGGAACAAGGGAAATGGGTGCACGCAGATATGTTGAAATCGGGACAAAAACTCGTTGCTTTTGTAGGCAACACTCTTCTTGATATGTATGGTAAAGCAGGAAGCATTGATGATGCAAAGAAAGTTTTCGATCGATTAGTGAAGAAGGATATCGTTTCGTGGAACTCAATGCTTACTTCGTACGCACAGCATGGACTCGGTGAAAAAGCCGTTGACCTATTCGAAGAAATGCGTGGTTTTGGTTTTCAGCCAAACAAGATCACTTTCCTTTGTGTACTCAATGCATGCAGTCACAGTGGGCTTTTAGACAGAGGGTTATATTACTTTGAGCTGTTGAGGAAATATAAGTTGGAGCCAGATATTACGCATTACGTGACGGTAGTCGATCTACTCGGTCGAGCAGGGCAACTCGATCGTGCGCAGACGTTTATAAGTGAAATGACCATTTTACCCACGGCAGCCGTTTGGAAAGCCTTGCTTGGAGCTTGTCGGATGCACAAGAATATGGAATTGGGTGCTTATGCAGCTGAGCGAGTTTTCGAACTCGACCCACACGATTCTGGGCCCCACATGCTTCTCTCTAATATGTATGCATCTGCTGGTAGGTTGAGCGACGCTGCGAGAGTGAGAAAGATGATGAATGAAAACGGGGTTAAGAAAGAACCCGCGTGTAGTTGGGTTGAGATAGGGAACTCCGTGCATGTGTTTGTGGCGAATGACGAAAATCACCCTCAGAGAGAGGAGATTCGAAGAAAGTGGGAGGAGATTAGAGATGGGATCGAGAAGATTGGGTATGTTCCCGATACGAGCCATGTGCTTTGGTTTCTTGACGAGAGAGAGAGAGGAGAGCGACTGCAGTACCACAGCGAGAAACTGGCGCTTGCGTTTGCGATTCTCAATACTGCAGCGGGGACCACAATCTCGATAAAGAAGAACATTAGGGTTTGCGGCGATTGCCATTCCGCGTTCCGGTTCGTGTCCCGGTTGGTTGGTCAAGAAATTGTATTGAGAGATACGAACAGGTTTCATCATTTTCGGAGTGGTTCTTGCTCTTGTAGAGATTATTGGTAGGTAGCTGAAAGCAGATGATTATAAAGTAAGTCTTCGAAATGCTGCCTATTTTTTTAACTTCACCGAAATTACTTAGATTCAATACATATTTAACATTTGTTTTTTTCTCTTGCAGTGATATGTGAAGATCGGTTGTCAAATGTCGTTTGTTTGGGATGAGTTCGGCGAAAGGAAGGTTAAGCTTCTGCCATGCAAAAAAACCGTGCTCGTTTTACTTTTTGTTCCATATTGGCATTTAATTAAAATCTATCAATCTCTTATGATTAATAATTTAATTTATTATTAGGTACTCGGAGCTCGAATATGCTAACATCCGCGATGCGATTCTTGCCTGCTGTTTCAACGTCATCGGATAAAAAGGTTAGAAAGATACATTTCTTCACCTTATGTTTTAATTTGAGGCATTGAAGACATGTCTAGGGCTAAAGCTATAGATTGAGCAAGTGATAGATGAGACATTTCTAGGGACGCAGATTCCGAATTCCGATCCAACATTTTCCTATTTTGGAACAACATACTTTTCATTCCGAATTTCTAAAGTTCCGAAGTTTCTTTTTTGGAACGAAATTGGAATACATATTAGCTTCCGATTTTCGATCCGGTTTAAATTTTCAAAAATGTTTCGGATTTTTTTTCAAAATCTGCACTTGTAACATTAATATTACTATGTATTCTTTATTACATGCGACCAAGAAAATCGCAGTTCCCGGATTCCGCCAAATCAAATCTTAACTTTCCGATTTTGGACCAAGTTTTGTCATTCCAATTTTGCAAAAATTCCGATTTTTTACCCCATGTTTTCTTTGAAACGGAATTGGAATTAATTTTTCACTTCCGAAAAGAATTGGGGGAAATGTTGGTAAAGTCTAATTTCGATCTGGTCCGTCCGATTTCCACCCTCAGATATCTCTCTCTCTCAATTGGCAAGAAACTAACATAGGACCACTTGGGCCACTTTCTTACTAATTTACATAAAGCCCACAAAAAGAATTGCAATCATTAGGCCCAAAATTTTGAAACACACAAACTCATGTGCAAGGGTATTTTGGGGAAGAAGTGAAAAATAATAGCCTGAACAGAGGAAAGTAAAGAGAAGACTTTATATACGAAAGAAGGAGAAGAAGCCACGTCGACTTTGACACCACTTAAGCATTAAAACCTCGTACCCTTGCCGACAAGTACACCCCTTGTACACTCATTTCTTATCTACTTACTCACAATTCTCTTATATTATTATTTTAATTTTCCATTTTTTTATAATAGGGAAAATCAATTTATTTAATTATTAATAATGTGACAATGGCCAATTAAATAATAATACTTTTTTTTAATGATTAACCCACTTGTATTGATTAAAATAATTATTTTCAAGTGGGGCTCTTCTCAAACTGGTACCACAAATCATGGTCATATTACTTTTGTTGCCAAGACAAAAAACATCAGATACTTGCAAGATAACATTAAATAAATTGTGGGCTGTCTTTTTTATTTTATTTTTCCCCCTTTTTTGAGTTAGTTTTAATGTTAATCTTTAAATAAATAACTTTTATGTATTTATTAACAAAGGGGTAATTAATATTTTTTATGAATGTCAAACCAAAGGTTTTTTTTTTTTTTTTTTGGAGGAACAAACCAAAGTTGCCAAACAATATTAATGACTAAGAAGTCAATAGTATTTAGGAAAATGTCAACACAATTAAAAGTGGTGATTCTTATTTTATTAGGCTGCATCAAGATATCTACTTGTAGATTATTTATTGTACTCAAGATTATTTTAAACAAAAGACTAATAGATTTTAATAAAATTTCCTATTTGACTAGGATTATTGTGTTTTGGTGCAACTCCCTATTAATTTTTTTAACGGTAAATGGCATTTTGACCTCATTGTAGTTGTGGTTACGAACTTTTGCAGATGATTCATTTCTGCTCGTAGTATTAGCGCAGAACCCCTTTGTGGTTGTCAGAGATAGCTTCTGTTATTTTTTCGTTAAAATTAACTGCATGTGTCAAACGTCAAAATATCATATTTTGCAGATGATCCCCTTGTGCCTACATGTTTTCTTTAATTTTTGCTGATGACTCCCTTGAAGTTTGACACGTGCTGTTAAATTTGACGGAAAAACTAACAGACGCTATCTCTATCAACCACAATGAGATTTTGTACTGATATTACAAGCACAAAGAGATTGTTTGCAAAGGCCATGCAGTTAAGTGTTATATAACTTTTTTATGATTTATAATTTTGAAAGTTCTCTAGGGTTGTGCCAAAATACAAATACGCATAATTCCATGAAAATAAAAAGTATATAAAAAATCAGCACCAAAATACAAAATACAGAAAGGCTTAATTTCACTTTGCACCCTTGAAATATATCATTTTGGCACTTTGCACCCTCGAAAAATAATAATAGCACTTTGCACCCTCAAAACACAATAAATCTTTCACAATGCACCCTCAATTGAATAATAAAGGCAATTTTATTTTTCATTATTGTTTTTCTTTTCGGGGTACAAAATAAAATAAAAAATTGTTATTTTCTTGAACCTCAAAAAAACCTAATTTCGAGCGGACAAAGTACGAAAAAAATAAAAATTACACCAGATTATTTGAAAAAACTACATTATCTTACAAAAGAAAAATAAAAAATAAGCTTTTATCACTAAATTATTCGATTGTGGATCTTTTATGTAACTGTTTGAAAATATTAGGTGAAAATGTTTGGAAGAAAATATGATTTTCAGATAATTTGATAACCGAATAGCTGAATGATTTTTTTTCATAAAATTTTTTATTTTGATAAAAAAAAATATAATTTTTAAATATATTGATGGAATGTATTTTTATTGTTGAACGTTATAGTTTCAAAATAATTGATGAATAAAAAAATATTTGACATTTGGCATCCCTAAAAAAATATCACTAAAAATATTAAATTTATATTTTTTAATTTTAAAAATTCATTTGGGGTGCATTATGCATGATTTATTGTATTTCTTGAGTGCGAAGTGCTATTAATTTATTTCGAGGGTACAAAGTGCCAAAACGGTATATTTCAAGGGTGCAAAGTGGAATTAAGCCATACAGAAACAATACGAATTTAACGTCACTATCACAATTCACAAATTAGAGAGATTAATTAGTAGTCATATTTGATTTGATTAAATCTCCACCGTAGGATCAAAGAATTGCATCTCCCAACTTTTGGGCATAATGTATTTCCACGCGCTTGTAAGCGCGTGTACTCAGAACGAATAAATTTTCTAGAGGAAAAGGTTTCCACTCTACCTGCGAAGCGGCCGACCGGGCCTTATCCGCATCACCACTCATGAGGTCCACGTGGACGGCTACCATTGGTTGAAAGTTGCTCGAGGTTTGATTACATGATTGCGATGGTTTTCACTATCAATTTTCAAACCTTAATTACGATAATTAGTTATTGATTTCGAAATTAAGAGTTGAAAATTATTTGTGAAGTTTTATCAAATAGCCCCTTTAGAAAAAGGAAAATTGGTGGGAAGCCCCTAAAAAATTATAGCAAAATTAGGGTTGCTGAATTTCTCTTTTCCTGCAACCTCGTTTTGTTACCATTTATAGTTACAGAAAGGAGGGCATTATTGACATTTTACCATCATCTTATAGTTAAGCCGAAGCCAGTGGGTAGGTAGGTCAATTCCCTCATACTTTCATTACTAGATGCAATTTAATGCACCCTTTAAATTTATTAATTAATTATTTATTTTTTATTTAAACATTTGTGTTATATATTTTCTCTTGTGTGGAAAAAGAAATGGGTACCATGCCACTTGTGAAATTACAATTTAATTTGCAATATTTAGGCCAAGAAAATAAAATTTAGAGCAAAGTATGGTCACCTCCTGAGGTAATGTCAAATTACAAAAGAAAACCCTCATATTTTAGTAATTACAATCATCCCTCAACTATGTATTTTCTTACGAAAAACCCTTATTTTCAGCAAGTAAACTTGACATCGTAAAGAATGGACGTGTAAGAAAATACATAAATGAGGGGGTGTGGTTGTAATTAATCAAACATTGAGGTATTTTTCGTAATTTGACTTTATTTGAGGAGTTAGCCGTAATTTTGCCCTAAATTTTATAGGATTACCCAACTATAGGCCTTTTTTCCACTTGCAGAAATCTAACACAAAACCTAACTATACATCTTTTTTTCCTACATGTAGAAATATAACTTAGTCTTAGATTTGTAGTATCAATTTGGCCTAACTTTTAAGATTCATACGCACTAAATATTTTGTTATTTAATTTATATATACTAATTATATAGTAAATCCTAGTGGGGGTGGCCTGTGATTTTTTTAACCCAAAAGGGTATACAGCTAATAGATTCTTAAGGTAGAAGGTTTGCCTTAAGAGGAAAGATAGTACAATCAAGATTCTTGTGTGTGTTTGTGTG